CATGCAATTGTTGTTTCAATCAAAGTCACGCCCACCCTGAATAAACCGACTCCCTCTGAAAACCGACCATAGATCACAGTCCCAGTCATGGTCGGTTTTGACAGGTTTTACTGTATTTGGAAACACTTCGTGGTAGTCATTGTACAATAACGTACACACAGCAATAAAGCGAAGCTGTCTCAATCCGTATAGCATAATTTTGAATTGCTGGTATTCGATACGGAGCTCTTCAAAATTAATTATGGCTCTGGATTTCACCATTGTCACCCATGTCACGCCCAAAATGATCATCAAGTGCTTCCATTTCTGGTATTCCGAAGTTCGCTAACTCGTTCCTGTCTTGTGGCAATTTCCTGGGATTGACCAAGACATCTAATGAAGTTAGAACAGTTATCTGACCGTCCTCGAAACGACGTTGCAAGTTGTAAATCAGTGCCTCCACGAATTCACGTCGAGTGTCATTAACGAACGCATCGATGTTGACTTCGGCTGCATGCTTCAGTTGAACTCTGTGATAAGTGCGTGTTTGCCTGTCAAATGTATCCATGAACTGTGCTTCATGTACACCGGAATATGTAGTTTCCAATAGCTTCTGTAAACTCTGTATGGTAGACGAAACCATGGGAGCAATTGTGGACAAATCGATAGTGTCACGTTGAAATAAGATTTAATCTATCCATCAGTGCAGACACGTCGTTTAGAAGTTTTGTTGTTGCCACAAATTTAAAGGACGACACGCGTAACAGTCCCTTCGCAACTGCATTATTCTTTTCAGGCCTTGATTCCTCCTCCAACTCAACTGTGAGAACAGCCCAACTATTGTTGATCGCTGTCACTGCTCGGGATAATGATAGCCATCTCACCCAACACGGCTCTTTGAGTGACCGGAAATCGTTGTTATCCAGTGAATCATTCATTTCTCGCAAACGATTCATACGGGCAGCAGAGAAGTGGTAAAAGTTGTAGATAGTGTTTACAACTTTACGATATTCACTGATATTGACAACACTTTTATCTCACTTTGTTGCATCGCTGACCACTAAAGCAACTCTATGAGCAACGCAGTGAACCGATGTCAGAAAAAGGTTGAGACGTTTTAATCGAGCTGCGACACCATTTAAACGCCCAGTCATAACACTGGCGCCGTCAGATCCAAAGCCAATGACTTTATCAATTTCAATATCATTTGCAACGAGTGTGTCAATCAGCGCATTCAGCACTGTTTCGGCATTCCCGCTGTGAATAGTGACATTGCTATGAAAAATTTACTTTGGGCCACCGCTCGTCATGATACGCAAATAAACTATCAGTTTCTTATCAATAGTGATATTTACGGTTTCATCTGTAAGAAGGCAGATGTAAGGGCTTTGCCTGATTTCTTCTTTGATCTTCCCGCGTATTGTATCTAACAACGCTTTTTGGATTTCATTGATTGAAACTGAATGAACATAAGGATTACATTTTCTCAATGGATCACTGCCATTCAGTTTCTGCAGTTCTAACAAACTGCCCAGCTTGGTGTTGGCGATGTCTTTTGCCATGAAATAGACTACGCATCACGGATATTTGCCCATCGGTGTCTGCTGACATTGAGTTTTCCATGGACTTGCTAATCGCTTTGCGAAAAGCCGTACACTTGCAAGATTCTCTATGGTCGCTGGTGGCCAAGTGGCGAACTAATGCCGAACGTTGCAAGTCGCTGCAACCTTTCGTGAATGAATTTGACTTGCCAGCACTTTTACAGGTACGGCAAAACATTTTGACGTTCACTTCTGGAGCTGTAACTTCGGGTTCGTGATTTAACCAATTGAACTCGCACATCCATTCTTGGCGAAATTTGTGATGCTTTTTCACATGCACGTCAGAAACACCTGCCGTCTCAGCATTTGGTTGCGCTGAGTTTTGAGGTAGATTTAGCGTCTGAGTTCCTCTTTTCCTTGCTGGCGATGGTGATTGAGTAAAATAACTCGCAATATTTTGCCGTTTAGACATAATATAGAGTTAGGTACTGCCGGACTCAAAACGATCATGAACGGGAATATTTGAATAAGTAACGAAATAACGGTTTAACACCACGTCAGTAATGAAATGATACAAAACAAATAATTATATTTTTAATTGTTAAATTTTATTGGCTGTCATTTCTAGAAATAAGCAATTAGTCGCTATTCAATCATAATTGAACAACGTTGTACACTGCTACGTATGACAGCAGTTCGCGCCAAGCAATTTGATTGACAAGAACCAAAACAATGTTGCTATTTGTTGCAACTGACTTGCTTGAAATAAACATTATACATTGTTGCAAGTCAGCGGCAGGGAACTAGCCTGGATGTGTGACGTCGCGATTTTGCCCAGCTGTTTTCAATACAACAAAACAGCTGAAACCAACGTGTACGGATAGACGCAGCTGTAAAATATTTTGCGTAATCAAGATTAAAAATGCGTAAAATACGCAAAATTATGCATTAACGGAAACACTGATATTTGTAAGCAAATTGAAATTAAAGTACTGTAAAGTACTTTATTTTCACTGGAATTAATTTTCACTGAAAATACTTTTTGGCTGTTTTCTAAGGAATTTATTTTCACTGATTATTGACGAGTTAAATGTAAAGTATGAGAAAAAAGGTATATTCGCTGGACTTTATTTTCACTGAAACATTCCTTAAGTGAAAATAGCGAAAATTAATTCCAAGCGAAAATAAAGTATTCTACAGTAATCACAATTTTGAATCTTTATTCAATAGTTCATAGGGTCAGATAATTTTTATAATATTGACAAGCAAAATCTGCCTATTTTAAACTCTGACAAGTCTCCAATGATACTAAAACATTATCAGATAAAAAAAACAAAAAACTGAATTACTGGAGGGAAAAAAAAAAATTGTATCCAGTTCATTAAAAGGACATTTCAACTAATCTCAAATAATTTATACCATCTTACCTCCAATTGTACTTTCTTGGTATTCATGGAACTGTCCTTTTACAAACCGAAGAACTAAACTAGATTTTCCCACAGCTGACTCGCCGAGCAACACCAGTTTAAATTGACATATTTTTCCTTGAGTGCCATTAGGGCGCTGCACATTTCCCCTACTAGACATTGCAATCACTTGTAATTTTGTAGAGTTCTAATTCCACTGTCCGTTTGTAACCCCAAATCTCAAGTCCTCTTCGTTACTTCAATTTAAAAAAACCTGCAGCAGAATTAGATTTGATTAGTATGCTTGTCGCATAAAAAAAACAAACCATGAATAGGGCTGGGTATTAGAAACAATGGACTGATGAGAAATTAAAACCGGATACTCATTTAAAAGATCTTGAACAGAATATTAATTAAGAGAAAAACACTGTATCTAATAAAATTGCAACACTTAGAAATATTACCTTTTCTACAAAGTGATTACTTCATTTTATTTGAATAACCTGCATTTGGGTTAGTATCATGGTCCAAGTCATTTCCAATCTAGCAACCAGGAAATGCTAAATATAGCAACAGATCATGCTAATTCACAATATTGAATACAGGCTGTAGACAATACTGTAACAAATTACCAGTGGTGTGTGTGCCAGCACTTCAATTACATATTTTGTATTTAAAGATATGTAAATAAATCAATGCTGTAAATAACAGATAGCTCTACAACTGGTATTTGAATTTCAATGACAACAGAGATGATCAGCAAAAAGGAATAAAATTGGAAAAGATTTATTTAATGTTGCTGGATATGCAATGATGTCCAAATAGTCTTTGAATTAAAAATGCCCAAACATCTGCCACAACAGCATACAAAATTAAACAATGTAGAAAATTATTCACAAGGATTTTATTTCAGTTTTCACTACTAAAATTAAATTCATGTGAACCAGGTTATACACAGAAAACAGTAAGTGCCTGTCTAAAAACTTTATCAAAATGAAAAACAGCAGTTGATAGTCTGTTTAGTATGGTTATTTTTAGTTTACCGATAAATTTCAAAGGTTGGATAATAAATATAATAAATAAATATAATAAATTGGAGGATAAATTGGAAAGGTTTGTATTTTACAAATTGTGTACTTGTCTAAAATAGCTACAAGCCAGATGTAAACATTTATTAAAAGTAAAATTCATCATCTCACAAATAGGCTCAAGTTAACAAAACAACTAAATTAAATTGTTATGAAAAATACTGTTTTTAACAGTAATGGACTGATTTTGTGTAGGGAGTGCCATTCTACTGTCTCCGTTTATGATTTTGTCCAAACTCGACTGTCATCAACAGAACACAAAGAATTTATTAGTATCATTCAAGACATGAAAATAATACTGCATGTGTTCTATTAGCAGTACATGTTGATACATAAATAGCCGAGGTGCTTTTTAGGTCAAAATAGAATACATCAAGAATTTGTTTAAACAAGGGAACAGGGGCACAGCACCCTCATGCCATAGCCATGCGCCACCTTGGGTAGCAGATCGTCTGGTAACCATGATATTCTGATTGACTAGGGATCACATGTGGCCACAGTCTACAACTGTGACCCATCTGATAGTAATTTTGGCCCCAAAGAAGCCATAGAATGCTCCATTTCAACTTAGAATTATCAAAAACTCCACACCCTGGTAGGGAGAACCCTATCTTCTCCACTTGGTGGCGCCACTGAATTGCGGCGCTCCCTTACAAAATGTAGGCATTTTTTTTTCTTGAAAAAAACCTGGAATACAGAATACAATAAATACAACCATTGGCTTACACATGCACTTATATTGAAGATGTATTCCTAAAAGAGCAAATATAGATGATAAATACAAATACTTGTTACACTCAATTACTATTACAAGACAGCTCAATATGCCTATTCAACTTGTAACTTGAAAAAGCAGAATACGACTACATACAACTGCATTTTTTTAAGTGGAACCACCTACTCTAATCTTAGATCTAATCTGTTTACACCATTCAAGGTTACTGAACAATGACATGCTGCAAGTCACAATAACAACAAAATTTACATAACATGAAATTACCATAAATGATAATGAACTACGACAGCAGTTACAGAAAGGACTTTTTTATTATTTTAAACATCCTGTCAAGTTCTTATACTTTGAGAAACAATAAAATCACTGACAACTCTATATGGGGTACAGTAGGTACCAGGAAGTCGTGATCCATGAATCACTCAAATAAATTGCCACCCCCTGAAACTGATATATAAATCAATTTATATACAACCTACATACAGCACAACCGACTGAAAACTTAAATGAAATAGAATTGTTCTGGATTATGGGTGATTACTTAGTTGACATTTTCATGGTACCAACATCAAACAAATGTAAACAATGCTTAGAGTATGGCTTCAGCCGAAGTTAGAGAATATTCTGAGTACCGATGCACATATAGATCTTGGATGCTATGCATATCCGATCTTGGAAAGGGGGGGGGGGGGCAAGCACCTAACAAGTTGATATTAGAATTGGCACAATGTGCACACACTGTTAATAGTGTTATACAAACAACTGTCACACAATGTCCAAAAAGTGTCAACACTTTTAACATTAGCATTAAAAAACAGTTAGATATTTTATATTTTTCTATAAACCATGACCGTAACACCATGAAACATTTTTTAATATTTTTAGTTTTAACATAGAACAAATCTTATATGATAGGCATGTTTGCTACTCGATAAATAATAATAAAACGATAAATAAAATATAATAAAAAACGATGGCGGCCACCGGATTCAATGTCCCACGAAGCTTGCTGAAACGTTTGATATATTAACCGTTTTTAAAATTAAATTACGTACACTGCATACATGTACATTTTGACAAAACATCTATTACGTAAATTTGATTATGTCATTTATGACGCATGATGCTACGCATATCCGTAAAGACACCATCAATTATTGGACTCGCAACGTTTGTCCAATTAACTAGTTAAATATTCGAAAAAAAAACAAGCTTAAGTACAAAATCTGTTTAAAGCTACTCTTTTATAATAGTTGGTTGAAAACCAGAGGATGCCAAGTAATTTACAGGAAATGGAATAGGAGACGCAGGGTACGGCGATAATATTATCACTATCAGGAAGGGCAGCCATGTTGAATTGACATCATCCTCAAAGACGTTGAGCAAACATCGACGATTTCGGAATCGCGCCACAAACCGGACTGAGCAATCGCAATGGTGGTATACTTACTTGTCCCTGCATGCGTGTAAACAACGACAATGTCGGAGAAATTCGGGAAATATGTTATTTTAGTTCGTTTCCTATGAATATTACGTATACAGAGTACCACCCTACGACAGCGACCACATAGTGTCTCACCTTTACCGGTACTGTGAAAAAATATTACTCCGCCAAAGTATGAAAAGGTAATTTTTCGATGTTAAAGAGATTATAAGCGTGGAAGAAGCTTACCCAGTGTCTCAAGCAATTGTTCTGCAATATAACAATGATAAACTTTTCTGGTGTATTAAACTTCAATTTTGTTTCACCAAGCACTATATTTACAACCTCACAGAGGAAGGACACATAGTCGACTCTGATTTTGAGTTCGTGAAACCCGTAAAAGTATGACGTTATTGCTTCTGTTGTTCTCGAGAAGTGCGAGAGCGAGATAGAATGACCTCGTATGACCCCAATACGAGATATCAAAGTTTATGACCTTCAACAACAACAAAAATGGCTCGTTCGCAAAACATTTTAGAAATTAATATTTATTAATAATACGATAATAAAATAAATTAATAAAATAATGAAAATAAACACGAAACTATAATACATACTATTGTGTACCATAGTTGTAGAATTTAAGAAAGTATAGATACAACATTCATTAAATTATTATGACAATATTCATGAACGAGGATAAGTTCATAGCAACCATAAACAAATAGGCATATGGTCGATGGAAGGGTTTCTCCTTCATGTTCAGCTGCAAAACACAATAGCTGTGTCGCCAGTCGTACCGTACCTTGCAACGCCTTGGTAACACCGGCACACTTGACTTCACGCAGTATAACATATAAACACGTACATCCAGTGCCTTGAAAAAACTGACGATTTGGACATCATGGCAATTTCGACTGCCAAATATTCGTGGCGGGATGCAGTGCAGAGCAATGTAAACAGATATACGGACCGAAACCCCGACATAGATGCGGTAAGTTTTAGTAGCCATATTGCCCGAACATAGCCGTATTGAATTCACATTGAAGTAGACCATCAATGGCAAACAACAACGCGACTTGTGGGTGTCTTGTAAAGTTGACAATGTGAGACTAGTTGCATTCAACTTGACCGTTGAGACCGCAACGAAGAAAATGTGGAATGCCTGTCAGCATTACTGGAGATGTGATTTTCTCGAGTATGCATATGCATTTGAATTTATGTTTTCTTTTTGAGGTTTTATACTTCTCTTCAATGCATTTTTACTTTTAAATTTTTTTATTCAACATTTTGATTACACGTAATTGGTTTTAAAGCGTAGACACATATGAGTGTCTATTATTAAACCAAACATTATCACATTCACAGAAAATAGTGGTCTTTCGTGGTTATTAAAGTTTATGTCTTGAAATTACTTTATAGGCTGGTAAGTTAATGACAGTGCCAGGACACAGTGCACCAGACTGTCTCACACAAGAAGTAAGACCTCCAACTCCAGATGTTGTCAAGAAATTCAAGAATTTTTTCGAGCCTGATGCTGGTGCTGCAAGACTTTTTTATGGAAAAGCTAATGATCCTGACATTGCCTCCACCTTGGTTCATGGAGTTACCAGCAAAGATTCTAATTCAGTGAGTGTTATTTTAAAAATGTTCAAAGATGGGCGTGACTGATATACCTTTATTGGAATTTCCTCCTTATCAACTACAATAATTACTAAATGCATGTAAGGTGAATAAGGACACCACCACGTTATTGTTATTTTAATGAGGAATATTATTATTTGCAATACTAAACATGCAAAGAGTCTACAAAAGCTGACCTGTGTCTTCAGTTTGCTTTAATCCTACAAATTTTGTTTCTTGTTAAATGCAACAGTCATTTGCATCCCAAGCTCAAAGTCTTCACAGTAATTTTTTTTAAAGGAGTGTGATAATCGTCAGTTTCTTCAGAATTAATATTTGGGGCAATTCAATGTGGGAATATGATGGTGCATAATATACAGCAAATAACAAAGTGCATGCTTCAGAGTAGCCTGACAA